TAAAAACATTACAAGTCTTACTTATCCCAAACTTTTGAGCGGTAGTGTATAATCAGTATATATTACATCTTTTGATCTAGATATAATAATAGAACATTGATCTTATTGGCTTCATATTAAAATGATTTTGTTATTGCAGCTATATACATCTGACAATAAAGCTAATAAAACTAATAATGCATAGTGATAATGTAACTAGGATATTGACCTCAGATTGAGTATATAATTTTGTAAGTCTAATTTTGTATAGAATTTTATGGATACAATATATATATTTGTGTGTGTGTATGATAAAATAAATATATGAGAAATTTTTCCCCCTAAATCCCACTTGTTATTAATTACTGTCCATATAATATGAAATATTCCTGCCTGCTGTCCTGATAAAAGTATTCAGAAGATATTATTCTCATTCCATCATTGAGTATTAATGGCTTTTATTAATTCACTAGCAGCAGTCAAAATCAATAAATGGATCTGTAATTCTGGAGGACAGGATAAGAGGCAGGTAAAAGCGGGCGGCGCGTCGGACTGCAGCAAGAGAACCACAGCCAGAGGCGACACAGACCGACCGCGGCCTCTGATTGGCTGGAGCCGAGGGCCGTGTCACCCGTTCAGTGAGCACGAGAGAGGATAGAGACGCTAAATGTGAAGGGTTTTCTCATGCAAAACTCACTACTATGAGCAATGTGGCATTATTTCACTAGCATTCATAGAAGTGAGTTCTGCAGAAACAGAAACAGACGGTTGTGCTCTTACCTTATTATTTTGGGTGAGCATGTGGGCGACGTTCTCATCCCTCCGTTACGCTGTTTTTTCTTGGGTGACAGAGCCGACTGCTGCTCCTCCTCCACTACTGAAACACCAGCCACAGTTTGAGACGCAACCAAACTACATATGTTACCAAACAACAGTCACAAACCATTAAAACACTCCAAAACATACAATCACACAGCTGTGAGACACATACAGAAGGGATGAAGCACAAGGAGAGAGAAAGAGTGGGAATTCTGGGTGAAGGTTGACTAACTGTTCTCATTCTGATCAATGCCAGCAATACATTTCTGGTCAACTTTACTTGGAAGCCTTTGTGTATAATGCATTATACAGGTATTGCGATGCATTGTATCTTTTCAAAAATAATTGTAACTAAAATTAAAATGCATTTTAATATCTGCAGATTCCTTGATTGTCATGTGTTTTAATGCATTATACTTTTGAAAGGTGTAACAATGAATAGATAAGTATTATAACTGTGGTTACAATTATTCATTGGATTACACAATGCATTTTAAGTTGCATTTCAAGGCATAATTTAAAATAGTTGTAATTAATTTTTTTATTAATGCATTATATATTAAGGCTTCAAGTAAAGTTTTACCATATTGCTTATCTGCCAAGAAACTGTATTTTGCATTACTTCATTAAAAATGGGCAGTTAAATTTTTCTTAAAAATTTATACAGCTTTTTTTTTAGTTTAGCTTTACTATTAACTGAAAACTACAAAATGAGTTGTTTTACAACAATATATATAATTTTATTATGAATGAATTTTATTAAGGTACAATCATAATTCTGTTCCACATATTTTCATTTGGGTGGGTTATACTATATATTATCAACTTATTTTTTTGTGTACATTTTTCAGCTTGCAGCTTCACACTATAAAAAAACGGATCAGTTTGTGTGTGTGTGTGTGTGTGTGTGTGTGCTAAACCAAATATAAAAACTGATTTAGTATTTTTCATTAATTAATGCAATATTATGAAAGGCCTGAACTGCAACAGGAAAAAAAGAAAAAAAAAGAAAAAATATTCAATGTGGAAAAAAATAGTGTCTCAGATCCTTCCTATTCCTTGTTTATGAATATTTTGTATCTTGATAAATTTTTTTCTCTCAAAAAAGCTTTTTTTCTCTCATTAAACAACTTTTTGATCAGTTTGTGTGTGTGTGTGCTAAACCAAATATAAAAACTGATTTAGTATTTTTCATTAATTAATGCAATATTATGAAAGGCCTGAACTGCAACAGGAAAAAAAGAAAAAAAAAGAAAAAATATTCAATGTGGAAAAAAATAGTGTCTCAGATCCTTCCTATTCCTTGTTTATGAATATTTTGTATCTTGATAAAATTTTTTCTCTCAAAAAAACTTTTTTTCTCTCATTAAACAACTTTTTCCCTTTAAAAAATTATCTTAAAAATACTTTTTTTTTTTACTCTTCAAAACTTTTTTCTCTCATTAAAAAAAAAAGTTTCTCTTTTTGAAAATGTTTTTCTTTTTGAAAAATGTTTTTCTTCTCTCTCAAAAAACTTTTTCTCTCTTCAGAATAAAAGTTTTTTGAAGAGAGAAAAAAAATCTTAGCACTCTTAGAAAGGATCTAAGACACTATTTTTTTTTCCACCTTGAAATTTTGTTGTTTTTTTCACATTGCGGTTCAGGATGGTTTGTTTAGTATTTCTGAACTCCATTAGTCCTCATGCATTTCCCACAATGGCAGGCCGAGTCTTACAGAGTGTGTGCGGGCCGATGGTGGAGGTGGAGCCATGGCTGGAATGATATCTGTATTTAACGGGCAGACTACAGGCCCGATGCAGGCGGGTAGCATCGGCGGCTCCTGAGCCAGCGCTGCTGCTCTGATACAGCTCTCTAGAGCCGGCCAGACTGAGTCTGTGCAGGTATGAGGCGGCCGGTGACAGCAGACTGCCTTTACGGTTATTTACTAAAGGCACTGACACACGGATGGCCGGGACAGCAGGAGGCGCTCTCACCGTGCACTGAACTCGCATTAGGGTGGGTTTGGGATTCTGGGGCAGGAATGTTGGATTGAGCTCATCGTTTACTGTCAGACAAGAAACATTCATAATCAGGCGGTGGACAGAATCAGCCAAATCTGTAAAAAAATAACATGCATTTCATTGGACATTTTTACTGTCCTTAGCATATGAATGATTTATTATTTTATTACTATTATTTTGGAAATTATGTTTAAAAGTGTTTTTTATGGAAAATATTTTTAATAACATTGCCGTCTTGACCAACAACTTTAATATTAAGGTGCTGTAATACAGTTTAAAGTGTTGTTAAATTGTTTTAAAACTTATTATTATACAATTTATTTTAAATATTTTATATGTTTTTCTTAAATATAATATTTTTTATATAAAATATATATTTTTAATATTTTATATTTAATTATATTTTATATGTAGATTTTATTTAATATTTTAATGAAACAATTATATCCAGATTTAAATCCAGTGCATTTGTTTTATATTGATTCATTTTATTAACAAATATATTTAAAAAAATAACGTGTGAATTATTTAATTATATATTGATTTATTATTGATCCTCCACAGTCACCAAGACAGGTGCATTTTCTCAGGATCCTTATTTCAGTGATTTCTGTCAGGTTGTAGTGATATTTTATGCATAATAAACTAAACTCCTACACTAAAATTGCTGACAGCACCATTAGCTGACATATTCTGCATCATTTAACATGAAAAAAACACAACTTCACAAATGCTTTGAAAACAACAAAAACAAATGAAAGCCAAAGCAGTGAAATCGTTTCTAAAGTTCAAGCTCCACATTATCAGAACTGCAATGCAGCAGCACCACCTAGTGTTGAATGAGAGCAAGCGTCTGCAGTGATTCATGATATTCAGATATAGTGATATACACAGACTGCAAAAAGTATTTGGACACTTACATCCTGTGTGAGCTGACTGCATACAGCCACTTATTATTAATGAGCAACGAGCAAAAAAGTTATTTCTCAATATTTTGAATGGCACTTGCTTTGATATATTATCTGATGCAATTACATATTTATGTATGTCTTAGTTGTCCAAATACTTTTTGGGGGGCTTCTGTATATAATCCTTCTGCACCTTAATTTGCACACATACATCAGACCAAATCACATTAAATGTTTGTAATCACTGAGGTTTGGATGAGCAGGACATGAAGAGAAGAATGAAGGAAGTGACGAAGAAAGAGCAGACGGTTAAGAAACAAATAAGTAAAAATGGGGAAGAAGAAGACTTACTTGATTTGATGTATCCGTTATAGTTACTTTTAGCTGAGAAAATGCAAAGACAAAATGAGCTTAAAGTGAGACACATGGAGCAATGAAATGATGAACCAGTGAGAAAGAAAATGGAAATAAATGGCTATTAATAATTTTTATCTAGAAATGACTATCTTCAACCACCCAGTGAGCACAAAAACATAACTTAACTAGTCTCCTAGCCTGACCAGCTGACCCAAACTGCCCCTAAAACCATCAAACCAATCCAATCTAACCAGCTTGGCCAGGCTGGGACACCAGATAATTACCTTAGGCTGGTATAAGCTTTTACATATCAATGCTCTCAACCTCCAATGCAAATGACAAATACTGTGTGTATTTACAACATATAATTCTCCTATGTATAATTCTCCTATACAGTATAGCCATTTTCCTATAAGTGTTAGTAATACCAATCACCATATCCAACATCTAGATTATTAGCATAAAACACAAACTATGTTTAAAGGACATGTCAGATAAAGACCACTGTACATAGCCGAATGTAAAATAAAACATTACAATGAAGATTCAATGAATCACAAAACTTAACTACTAAACTGCATCATTACAATTCACACAAACAGCATGCAGGAGACAAAGTCTACCACACAGATACATTCATGGGCTTACAGCAGTCTTCACCACATCAGATGCCACCACTACATGGCACTGCACCAGCCAGATGGCACATACACGGGTACAGATGACTATACGGGCACTCGGCACGGGTGCCACAGGGGAGGCGTTCACTTACACGAGCGTAAAGTGGTCGTGTTATCATACAGAGACACGGGAGAGAAGGGGAAGCCACGGTGCAGAACCTCCGTGTTACTAGCCACACTGTCTGACATGCACGAGCAGCCATGTTCTGCCCCACCGCAAGCTACACAACATGCCAGACGCATTCTCTTGTAGGCGGACTTCTTGGCTGGGGTCATGGGGCGGATGAGGGGAGAGGAGGAGGAGAAGCATGTTAATGGATGGGAGCATTATTTCACTAACAGAAGCTGGACATCTGGAAACTACAAAGGGCCAAGTATAGAGCCCTGAGGAACACCTTCAGAAAAACATGTTTGTTATCAAGTTATATACGATTCTGTTATATAGTCAAATCTGTTGTATTTTTCAACAACAACATACCAGTTCAAATGGCTCCAATGCTGTTTTAATTTTTTTATATATTCTTGGGAATACTGTATTTTAAAGATGCAAGTAAAGCATGGAAATGCATGGAGGTGAATGAGAAAAGATATCAACGTGTCCTGCCATGGTATATAAAATACAAGAGTATTTTTACCCCATAAATTATGCAAAACATAAAATTTTACCTCATAAATTACACAAACTTCTATTCTTAAAAATTAAAAACATATGGGGTGATATCTAAACTCAAAACAGAATACTCATCAGAAAAGCCCAAGTGCTGTTAGGAGCCTGTTAGAACAGTGAAAAGTCAAGCTGTCTCCTGCTGATGATGTGGTGGAGGACAGTGGGTTGATGGAAGATGTAGTTTTACATTCACACATGCAGCAGGCTACAGTAGAAATCTGCATTTACAGATGAAGGCTGTCATTACTCACAATACAACACTATCAGAGGGTGAGGGAAATTATCACAGATCCAGGGCAGCAAGAAAAAGGGAGAATGTGAAATGTGTCAATTACTAACTAAATGTTTTTGATGTATTTTAAAAGTATCAGGTGGAGGTAAAAGCCAAAAAGGTCGATAATGTGGCCAGGCGGTGCAGTGATATTGATAAAACAGCCTCGGTAGAGATGTCACTCACAAACTCCTCCACACGTGAATTCTTGAGAGTTCTTGTTCTATATCTAAATCATTATTTGCTAGCTGTGGGGAAAATTGTGGTAAAGTGCAATGTAAAACCCTCACAACAAATCCAGTTTAATGATTCCTGATCCCACAACATTCTCTGTGAAATAATTTAATAAATGTTAAAATACTTTTTTTTTTTTATTAGGTAATCTGAAATGTGATATGAAATACACCTAATAAAATTTATAAATATAATTATATTTAATATATTTATGTAAAAATGTGAATGTAAGGCAATTATTAATAAATGTTCTCATGGTAACTTACTCCGTTTGCATCCACACTTTTTGATCCGTTTTGGGTCTGTAATGTCATCATGACAAGCTTTACAGTAGAAAAGTGCCCTAGTGGAAAAATTTGATCTTATTCAAATCATCCACACAACATATGACTGATATTATGTTAATCTATTGCTGGATATGTAGAGAATAGCACAACACAAACTCATTGATCTCCTCACCTCTTCACCTCTTTGGCATCACTGGCGATGAAGAAGCCCAGTGTTCCCTCCTGCATCTTCACATGATTGCCCGGGTTAATCAGCGTGCTGTGAAACACAAACAACACTCACAATCCACAGAATGAGTTCTGAAACACTGCCCTCCAAATCATCATTTCTGCACTTATGGAGACGGGACAGCTCATGCCACGACGTGGACACACACTTAAAAATTAACCATAAATCTGTGTAAACCATCAAACATTCAAATACAGATGAAAACACCTGACGAAAATCTAAAGAAGAAAAAAACCAACCCAAAAGAGGCATTAAATACATAAAGAGTTTGTACAGTAATGCCAAAATCACCCAGAACACAAAAAGAAGCATCGCATTTCATTTTAATGTTAATGACGGCATGCATTTACTAAAAAAAATTTTTTTAATTAAATTAAAAGTAGTAAAACTACTGTTTGTATCTGTTTGTTATGATGAAGGTTATTGTTATGTCTGAACTAAAATAATCTATTTTAAACATTTCAGGACGACATTTGCATGCAAACACAAAGTATTAGTTTACTTGGTTAACAGACATGCAAGCATGGAAAAGTTCACCCAAAAATGACATTTCTTTCACCGTTTCCACTCTCATATCATTCTAGATACATATGACTTATTTTCTTCCATGGAACAGTAAAGGAGATGTTTAGCAAAATGCCTTAGTAATACCACAGCTTTGTGAAAGGAACAATTTACTAATAATTTTCCCTTCCACTGCAAATATCTTAACTCATTTATTATTAAGTTTTTCAAGCTGCATCACGATCAGCCACATGTCGTTTGCAATCAAGGAAATCAAATGATGTTTTTAAAGGCACATTTGAATTCAACATAAAACAAATGAAATTTGATTGTTTGAAAACAAATCATACTTTTGGATGGTTCAGTGGTGTTTTGTCATTTGTGGAGCTTGATAGTGTCTGTCTTCTTCCACTGTCATTGTATGGAAAATGACATTGTGCCAAACATCTCCTTTATATGTGTTTCATGGATTAAAGTCATACAGTTTTGGAACGACATTAGGGTGAGTAAATGACGACAGACATTTCATTTTTGCGTGAACTATCCATAAAACATCCAGCATGTTTCATTTCATAAGTGTGTCACTACAGAAAATAAAACATTTGTTCACAGTAAAAGCATTAAACATGTTCAGAAGGGCAGTGGCAGATACCGTCACCGCTGTTTTCAGTGTCACATTACACACACAGCTCGACCAGAAGAACAGAAACTAAACGAAAGCATCCCTTGAAAATCTACACATATACAATACTGTCTTGACTAAAAGACCTTTTACAGTACAGTCTCAACATTTAACCAAGCGCAAAAAACGTTCATGGACAAAAGACCCTAAAACATTCAGGAACGTTTCAAGCAAATATGGCAAGTAAATTTTCAAGAGAATTTGGCATGATGTGACCACACCAAATGAAACCTTATAATTTCATACCATTTTCCACCCCTGTGTGAAACAAACACACAAACAGCAGCAAAGTGAGACAAACTAGTAAATGCAGGATAAAGGGCACACTAAACAACACGTTAATCATTTCAGCAGGGTTATTATTGTTAATTAACACTCAAACTAAAAGAATAACAATTTTTTTGTTACTTTAGATAAATGTTAACTAAAAAAAATGTAAACACTTATTATTGTTAACTAAAATATTAAAGAAACATTTATATATATATATATATATATATATAAACTAA